TGCTGCGGCGAGTGCAGGCGGGGCTGCCCGGGGGCTGCCCGGGCCCCTCGGGGCGCGGGCGGGCACCGCTCCGCTGAGGAGCCCCTTCTGGCAGCACGCCTGGCCCCAGGACAGGCCCTTTACCGTGGGGACGTGATTGTCTCTCCGGAGGTTCAGTATCGCCCCAGTTTCTGAGTTCCTGTAGGAAAATACGCCCCGCAAGGGCGTTGCAGGGAAGTAAATGCGTTACAAAGTAGTAACTACTAGCTCTACTTACACCTCCGCTTAGGAGGAAAAAGGGATGTTTGTAGTCTGCAAACATTAGTAGTTATTCTGAAAGACTTCACAAGTTTTGTGTTACGATGTCAAGTTAGGAGATGAAATCAACGTACTCGAGGAGACTATACATGACAGTAGTGTAATGTGTAAGAGAATAAAGCTGTTTTACATAATTCAGGTTTTAAATCTGACATAATGTGGTAGTAGTACAGCCTTCTGCTAATTAGTCTATAAGAGGTTACTCATAATTTTTATGTGTTCGATATTTCATTTAGTGTCTCAGTAACTGGATGAATGTATTGAAAGGAAAACTGAGACAGTTTTACTGCTCAGTGGCGTATAAAAAGTATTCATCTGTGCAATAAAGTATCCTAAGTAAGTAAACAAGGTAGGAAAGGGATTATTTTCTGTGATTCTGCTAGTCTGGGACTGCTTTCTATTTGGTCTATTTGTGTTGTCTTTGCACTAATAGCAGTAAGAAATGTATTATATGCTCAGGTTTGGTGAATTCTTTTGGTTAAATTTACTTGACACGGGCTTTTATAAAAGGGAAAAATCCAAGTGATTTGGCTAAAATACACTTTTACTTTCAATTGGCAATAATAAACCCATATATTTTTGGGCAGGTGGTTTTCTAGCAACCACAGATGTTTTGTACATAGCATAATAGTTCTGTATGAATCACTTCCATTTTATTTCATAGGCTGGTCGCCTGCTGATGCGGAAATTAATTGCAGAAAAGTTGTGCATACCTTGGAATGAAATACACCTGCAAAGGACACCAAAAGGAAAACCTTTCCTGGCAAATAACGTATTCAGTGTCTATTCAAATTACAACTTCAATGTTTCTCATCAAGGAGACTATGCAGTTCTTGCAGCTGAGCCTGAGCTTCAAGTTGGCATTGATATTATGAAGACTGATTTACCAGGTAATGCATTATGGGGACCAAAGCAGATTCTGTAGTGTTTAAGTGCTGAATGTTTTAACGTTTCCCAAAGAACCAATCCGTGTCCTAGAAATTTAGTGTAATTAGAAGAGAGTGTATGAATTTACTGTGTATTTGCTTTTTTTTTTTATTGTTAAATGCACTCCTCGTTGCTGGTTTAGGGTTTTCTCTTATGCCAGATATGGATATATTTCCAGTTTAGAAAAGCAGAACCCTGGAAAAATAATGTCATGAATGCTGCTATGATATTGGCAGGACCGGCATCTGCAGATATTTTAATTACGAGTTTGCTGTCTGTTAGGTAGAAGCAGGGACAACTTTCCAACTAGGGACAATAGGATCCATTCCCCTGAGAAATTTATAGCGTGTGACTGTTGAGTGTTACTCCCTTGTCCCTTAAGTGGATGGACATGCTATGTGTCAGCATGAGGCCCAATACTGCAGCAAACTGGCATGGAAGATTTGCTGTGAGTGTGCAGAAATATTCAGTGAGAAGGGATCGTAATGAAACATTTAAGGTGCCCTTGGTAAAAGACTAAACTCCACAAAATTTAGTTGTTGGCCTATTATTTGTATGAAATATTGTATTAACCTGACTATATTAGTAAACTTTAGGACTCAAATTACCAATTAGAATTGTAGCAAAGTGTATTTTTAAATACAATTTTATGAAGATCATTTAGTTCACAAATGTTCATCAATGTGTGGCTGGGTTAAAGGAAAAATGTACTGGGATTTACGTTTTACTGGAATTTTAGGTTTTGAGAATCCTTCTCAAATATATAATTAGATATGACAATAATAACTGTGTTCTTAGAAAATCTTTCTTCACAATCTTCAATTTGCCCAGCATTTTATACTACAAAATAATTTGTGTAGTAAAGTAAAGATTCAAACAAACCCTGACTGCATAACTTGCTCTCTGTTTGCCTTACACCTTTTTAATGATTATTACAAGTGTCCATTTTTGGATTGGTGTGTTTAGCTAAGATACACAGAAACTTTACTGCAATCTAAAGTGAAGTTCTTCATCTCTGTCACTCACTTCCATCTACTGTAGACCCTCACTCTAGAGGTGGTCGTCAGCACATGGTGCCACACTGTAGCTCGTGGAGGACCCCATGCCAGCACAGTTCTGTATTTCGAGACAGGAACTGTGGCCTGAGGATAAGGCTGCACTGGAACAGGTACACCCCTGAAGGTACTGCAGTGATGCAGGGGTCAAATACCAGATTGAGCTCGAGGCCAGTGCTTTTGTCATAGATCTCCCAAGCAAAACAAAGCAAAGCAAAGCGGTGTCCCGAGTGCGTCCCCTCCCAGTGTCTTGCACGCTCCCAGCCTGTTTGCTGGGCAGCAGAGTGACGGAGAAGGCCTTGACGCTGCGCAAACACTGCAGTATGGGTAAAATATTGGTGTGGCATCAGCAGTGGTTTAGGCGTGGATCTAAAACACAGTGCTGTACAGGCTGCTGTGGAAAGAATTAACACCCAGACTCACTACCCTGGGAAACACTTCGGCTGCACTTGCCACAGGTCTCACCACAAGTCTCCCTAATTAAACATTTTAAAAAGCTTTCCTATTTCAGCAGGTAAATAGTGAAAAACAAAACATTCAAGCGTTCTGCTTTGTATTTCAAGCTTTTATTGGGAAATGAAAAATTGAAAGTAGTTTATACGTGCCATATATGGAGGT